TGGGATATCATGCGTTTAGATCCGCTTGTCTGACTGCTCAAGATGCCTAATTTTTTGACGAAAAGGTTTTAATTTATTCCCATATTCAAAGATTTACTATATTGATTATCGAATATAATGAATTTTGAATAAATTTGAATGTTCGATTCATTTTTGGCATTCCTGGATACCAGTTTACCGGTATGCATAATACGATACTGTAATGATAGTGGTTAATATAACGGAACTGGATCTTTAACTGGCATAAGGTGGCACTAGGGCAATAGTACTATGATTCTGAGGTGTCCAGACATTTGGTTAAATAAAATACTCTATTCGTCTCTGAAACAAGGGGGTCTCATATCACGGCAGATGCTTCATGCTGGTTTCGTAAAAGAGGGGTTTGCATTCACTTTTATAATTGAAGTATTTTATTCTTTTATTCAGAACTGTGATGTGGTACTGATTGGCAGAACTGAATACTGGGGTACTGGTTTGAACCCTCTTTCAAATCTTTACAGCTTCTATTGAGACTAAGATTTTCCTCTTCCTGTGTAAGAACAATGGCTGGAAGTTAGCCTAGTACCTTATCGGTACAAACGGTAGTCAACGCTGTAAAATCTCTCTTAAAGAAATTTTTTCACTTTGTCATTGTTTAATAGGAAAAGTAAGGAATACACTAAAAAGGCGGTTGAAAAAAATTTAAACCAAAACAAAAAAAAGAATTTGTTGTACCACCTACTTTATGTGAAGGTCGATTATTATTAATGTTATTGTTTTGATAGCATGAGTGCACTGCCCATTGTATATTGGGCTGATGCTATTTTTAAATCAAACTATTTAAATGCCTGTCATACATAAGTTATAGATTATGTTTCACTAAAATACTGATTTCACAGATTTGCAAAGAAACTCACTCGCAACAATGATTGTTTTTATTTATTGCTGGTTATATTATTTACCAAGTATTACTCGGACAGAACAAACTAAGACTGCCCACAATTTTTTCTATTTGAACTATGCCTCTGTTACTAATAGGTGGAAGAGAACCTTTTTTGTGGATTGAATTTTTAATAAATTTGTTTGAATTGCACTTTCACCATTCGACGCCCTGATTGTATGTTTAACCAATTTTGATCAAATTTAACAAAATATAACAATTTTGTTGCTATTTTCGAATCTCCACTAACTCATTGGCGCTCCAATGTGCGGTGACAAATCTTAGGGGGGAGGAGGATGACCTAATGTGACGTTGTCTTTGAAGTGACAATTAGTCATCAACGCCAGGGTGATGTGAAGTTCAATGCGTGCATAAACTGCTACTATTTTTTTTAAAACAAAAATAACTCATACTGCACAATTGATTAAGATAACAGATTCACAGATATAGGACTTACTATAGAAACTGCCAGAAGCGCAATATGATACAGTTTATTCAGCCAATATTTATACGATTGAAAATTTCATCCGAAGTTGCAAGGTATCCAAAGTTGATCAGTTTTACGGTATCATGCCTTTTGTTTCCTCTTGTCAAACTCAAAAAAATGCTCCCATAAAATTTTAATGCATTCAAAAATTGAAGTTTTACTGTACTGGTACTGTGTTGGGATATGTCTGTTGTTTCTGGATTTACAGATTTAGACTATTTATCAATTTGCAGGAAATACTTATTTCCAAATAAATTTGGTACTGATATGTCTATTCACAGGTAGGCTATACTGTTATAATTAATAATTATGTTTAGTGATTTGTTATAACTGTTGTCCATTATCCATTTGCCATGACCGATTTTCTAGGGTGCTTTCTGGGTTGAAACTACGGTAAGTCCTTTCACCATATGGCTTATATAAGCCTCTCTTTATAGGCTCAATTTAGCTCTTCATGCAATGCAATTTTTCTGTCTGGGAAAGAAAATCTGCATGAATGTTTGTAGTTTCAGAAGTTTAGTATTTGACTGGATATTATTTCTTAATGATTATGGTAAATATTTGTTCTTAAAAAAATGTTCACTATATCACTTATATAAATATTTTTTCAGAAAGTTTAAAACGTTTTAGATATGAATTAGAATACATAGTTTTATGCCACACTGATGCAATTAATAATACTAACAGTGTGGCAATATTCTGCTTGCTATTATTCCCGTCAACATTTCTTTATGAAACCTTTTCAAAACTGATAGTAGATATCCTATTTTCTATAATAATGTGGTTTGCAATAAAGTACAAACATAACATAGCATATATTTTGACAGCCCAAAGAGTTTGAAAGCATTTTCTTTATAGATTCATCAAGTGTAGCCTTGAATGATTCTACTACAAAGGGAAAAATTTGGGGTCTGGTATAGTTTGGTACCACATGTACTTCTAGTTGACCTGGCTCAACAATTTTTGCATATGTCAATCCTAACCCCCACCTGACTACGTCACCGAAAAATTACGTCATTTCGACGTCACAGTTGGCGTCATAAGGCCCACCGAAGTATGCGGATGGTCGTCCAAAACGCGCAGACGATCACCCGAAATCGAGCAAGCAATTTCTCTCGTTTTCTCGTCACAACGATCACGATAGGAGAGAGATCGCCGGCTTTGGCAAGTTCATTAACGCAGATGACATTTCGGGCGATCGTAATTATACTTTGGCAATCCCTATGACGTAATGGTGACGTAATTTTTGGATGGCATAGTCAGGTGGGGGTTAGGAATAGCATATGCAAAATTCGTTATGCTACGCCCACCGGAAGTACTTGTGGTACTGAACTATACCAGACCCAAAATTTGTACATGAGCAGGCTGTAAATAACTGATTTATATGAAGAATCAATCTACAGTTGTATCTCGGTAGACGAACGACTAGGCACTCGAACAATTCAGTAGTCAACCAAAAAAATTGTGACAAAAATGCTGTAGTACTAGAACGGAAATTCTTAGCCCGAGTGGGAAAATTAAAAAGAATATATTTCAAAATACGAGTGTGTTGTTCAAGTGTCTGATCTCGCCTTACAGTTTGGCATGGTTAAGTCTACCATTTCCATGTTTTATTAATATTTTTGATATTTTGGAATGCTTAAGGACATATTAAAATAATTACCATTGTTTCTTCGGCAAAAAAGTTGCGGCACCTGAACAAATCGATAATCGAACACCAATTCAAATGAATTATGTTTGACGATCAAGGTATCACTGTATTAGATATTTTAATAAGGAAGAACAACGTTCCCTATATTTGTTTGAAATTTGAGTATGTATGTCACTAAAATATTTACTACTACACAGTGCACACTCCCAATTTTTTTCCCAATATTGTGCTTGCACGAAATTCTTTAAGCCTACTTTAGTTTCTATGTCGTACTTAATCCTTAACTAGTATGTTGACTAGTATTTTTATTATTTTGTGTATTTATTGATTTATTTTATTATTCTGTGTATTTTTAAACATTTTTAGTCCTACATGTCGCTCATTAATTTTCAATGGTATGTCTTCTGACTAATCTGACACAATATTTTCATCCCTCTGGATGACATATCAAAATTTTTGTGCAGGTGACACCAACATGATTCAAATAGTAGGCTATATAAGAAGAAGTGTGTCCGTGTCTTATATTTCTAAACTAACATTTTTTGAGACCTGGCATTTATTTGTGTTATATCAGTGTATAAATATCGTACTCTGTTTTTATATAAATGTAACGTACTCACTCATTTAGTAAAAATGTGTTATTGTTATTAATTGGAATTTTTTTGAAAAAGGAAAAATTGTGTTCTTACTGTCAATAAAACTATTGCCCAAGTACCAGGCGGTTTTTCACTTAGTGGCACTCAAATTGTCCGCCGTTAGTGAGCCATTCATAAATTTTGTGGTATATATTCAGAGTTTGAATAAGCTAGCCGTCTAGAATTACAGCAGGCTATCTTTAGTAACTGTGGCACTTTTGTTGTTGCCTTCTTTGTACATGTACTTTCAAACTAGTGAGTTTTTATGGTTTTGTTTTGTCTTTTGAATAAGTTGTAGGAGTCAGATTTCATTATGACATCTATTGACATTTCAACAGGAAAGCTCATGAGTCTTTCTGTGAGTTTTATAATGTAAATTTGAATTTTCTGCCCTTATAACTCATAAAATAACTTATAAAACCTAGTTGAAGGCTAAGCTATGTCTAGAATTGTAAACACTAATTTCATTAATAAACATACACGCTAATTTAAATAAGAAGCCATCATATTTTTCGCAAGTTAGCTGCTGCATGTAGGTAAGCTTAGCTGTATATTTATCTGCCTGTCGATATTTGTCCTGTAAGTGCATATTTTTCTATAAATCTCTCGTCCCTTCTTCCACCAACTCCGTTGACTGTGAATTCTTATTCATCTACTGTTAGTGTATCTACGGGACAAAAATAATTTTATGCTCAAAGTTTTTTCCAAGAACTTCTAATTATATAGAATTCACTACTTTGTAGCGATTCAAGTTCAGCCTCTCGTACTTTTCGATATTAATAATTTGCTCCTAAATTACTCCTACAATATATTTCTTCATAGTCTGAGTGGCTTCTGGCACTTTAGTAGTCGCTCATAACTTTGCTCAGATATCAATCCTCATTTTCTGATGATTTCTACCTGTTATTACCTGTATTATTACAAAATTAAGAAGTCATCTTGTCTATAAAAACTGCTTTTCGTATATAAACAGGTTCTTATGTGAAGTGTAAAAATTGAAATTTTGTGACTAACTGCAACCTAAGTTTTTAATGAAGTTTATAGTTATTAGTAGATAATTAGATTTACTATGATAGAATAAGACTTAGGTATAATATTTATTCCGTGGAAGATCCCAAGCTGGTGTGATAGAAAGCGCGTTACCAACAATGTGCCAATCCATATTAGAGGGAGATATTTATTTTAAGGATACATGTATGATTAGCAGTAACAGTTATTTATTTCCTTATTATTAAATATTTCCTTAGTGAGAGTCTTGGTTTTATGTCAATATGAAACTTTCATGTTTTGAATTATCATTTTTCTTCATATTCACAGTTACGCAAGCGTGCAACACGTTTTAATAATTTCCTATCAAAGTATTATTTATTCAATCTAGCTGGTTCGGAATTTATCACAGCCGTCTCACAGCAGTGCTGAAACAGAACTTTCTGTTACAATGAGGGAGTTTAAGGTGGTGGTGCTTGGCTCAGGAGGAGTTGGGAAAAGTGCTCTCACTGTTCAGTTTGTCACCGGAACATTTGCTGAAAAATATGATCCAACTATTGAAGATTTTTACAGGTGCGATGCGATTGCGATATTAGAAATACTTTGCAAGTTGGATGTCTAATGAAGCTTTGATACAGCTTGATGTGACTGACTGATCAATAAATTTTGTAGCACCAGTTAGTGTAAAGCTTTTGAAACCAAAGTTTTTTTTATAGTAATTGAAGTATGCCTGGTAAAATAAAAGTGGGGTTATTTGCCTGGTGAACAATTTGTCTTCTGAACATGTCACTAACATCAAAATTATGTTGCTCTGATGGCTCAAATTATCATTTTTTTTTATAAACAACTTCCTAATGCTAAACTATAGAATAATTGTATATGGTCCTGCCTATTTTAAAAAAGAATTCCTGGTTTTCTACTACATGTTGTGACTGGAACTGAGAAAAAAAAAATTTGAAAAATGTTTCCTTGTAGTAAAGTATTTCTATATACCGGTAATTATGGCAAAAAGCCAGCTGTGTAAAACAGCATAGGATGGTGGTATGATGGGATCCCAATAATTAAGTATTCGGTTTGATGCGTCCAGTGCTCATTAGGCTACTTTATAAAAATTGATAAATCATGTTTACCGCTTGCCTGTATATTGTTTCAATGATATTTATATACTGTGGCCAGTGTACATGTTTGAGGTTTATCACTGAACTCTCATACCTCGTAAGGAACATCCTGCTAAGGCCAAGCATTATGCTTTGATCAAACTTCAATTGTGGCTGAAAATATTTGCCAACAGATATCAACCATATTCATCTCTGGTTTAAAGTCTGGCATTCATAATATATCACTCATCAAATTCATACCATAGTGTATATCTACTGTAAAAGCACTTATTTTTATTATTTTAGGAAGGAAATTGAAGTTGACGGCGCACCATCAATATTAGAAATATTGGACACGGCTGGGACAGAACAATTCGCTTCCATGAGGGACCTTTATATTAAAAATGGTCAAGGTTTTATTTTGGTGTACTCACTCGTCAATGCTCAATCATTCCACGATATTAAACCAATGAGAGAACAAATCTGCAGAGTGAAAGGCACAGACAGAGTTCCAATTATATTAGTAGGAAATAAGGTAATTGTGTATTTAAATCTTATATCATATTATGCCTGGTTATCATTTATACATATATAAATTAATGTTAATTGAGAACCTGAGGGATGGGATAAGATGTAATGCGATCACTTGTGGGTTACATCTCATTTTTTACCAGCTGGTATTGGCTTTTGTCATAGATATATTTTGATGTTACTAGTAATCTTGACAGAAAGATGTGTAGAAAATGATTGGATAATGAAAAAAAAATAAATTAAGAAATACGGTACCTTCTGCTTTATATATCGGATTATATTTATTAAATTACAATAAGCATATTTGTCCAGCAATGTAATGTGACTATTTTGTATTATATGACCAATACATTCGTGAGGATTGTTCATTCTTATTCATGATTTAATTTTCAAATCAGTTGATCTCTTGAGTGGGATAAAAATAAAAAAACAATTGGGGGTGACTCAATTTGAAGTTAAATTTAGGACGGCACAAAGGTGTTTTGACAACTGCTGATATCCTAGCAGAATAAGATTATATGTCACTGATGGTTATTATTTACCGCATACCAAAATTGGCATTTTATATAAATCTCATGTTGATTGTTAGTGAAGGCATTTTCATCGTTATTTGTTTTCTGATTATGACTGCATTTTCACAAAAGTTCATTCTCCATACTGGTACTTGAAATTCCTAAGACACATAATAACATAAATAATATGCAGTTCTGATAGTATGGGAAATAACTAGGATATATAGTAAATATAGGTGATAGGCTACATGTTTGAACTAGGTTATTTCTGGATTATACCAATGTGGAATGTAGATATTTATTTCATTGACTATAGGCCAATCTAGTGGGGCGGTTGAATATCTTTGTTGAGGGGACAGTGTAGAAAAGTAGATGAACAAAGATTGTTATATTATACCATTATAATAATAATACAGGCTGGAGTAGAAATTCTCTCAGATTAATCAAGACTGCTAGTACTACACGGGCAGAAACTTCAGGATTTAGTTTAACGTTTCTGCAGTAACAAAAAACTTGAAAATATTGCAATCAATTGATCCACCTTTAAGTAAACTATGATAATAGCAATGATGGTTTTGAATGCTAAATCCAACATACTAATCATGTATTGTCTCCTATAGAAGTTTCTTTGTGACTGAAACTAGAAACTACTACACATGAAACTAAACCTTTCATGTGTCAAAGTTTGAAAATTTACATCGGTTGTCTGGCTTTTGTTTTATTCACAATAGTACAAAATAATAACTACGGTATTAGTAATTACATTTTAATTTAGTGATTACATGGTAATGTCAGTATTCGTCACACATTAAACTTGGTTGATATAGCTCCAGGGACATTTGACCGTGCTGAACAAGCTTTAATAATAAACTGTCCCTCATTTATTTCATTATTATTAGGTTGCCTAGGCATTTGTTTAATAGTGGTTTGCTTGGCAATTCATCATGCTGAGCCACTGATGGAAGACGGTGATTAAATTTTATTAGCATTACTACTGAATGGAGAATGTCTTTGGCAAATACTGTCTTATCTGTATCGCAAATTTTGTACATACAGTCTGTATGGTACAATGTAGCTACTCGTCTGACGAAAAGCTTTTGCAGTTTTTTCACAAATATTACAATTGTAGTTTGCATGCGTTTTTATCATGCATTGTCCTGTCCTTTAAATCTACTCAGTGTACAATGTGATTGTGCTTTCCACATAAAAAGAACCTTTGTTTCGCTACCTTTGTGGGAAAACCTACTGATGAATTGCTTAATTTTAATTTGCTATAATATGGATTGTGTTACTTTTTCTAATTACCTGTTAAAACTGTAGAATGAAGATATTTCTTGTAAATAATTTTTCAGTTCTGATCTTGTACATGCAAATTCCTAATTGACTAATTGGCTTTATTGTTACTTGAAATGTCTTGGTTTACATAACAAACAAGTATGTGGTTAGTGATAATAATTCACGCAAACCATCCCATTCTGCAAAGCAGAAACAGCAAAGTCAAACTATTGAATAATAATATTTTACTATAGGCCACAAGCAGTTTAGCAATGAAATGAATAAATTATTGTATTGGTCATTTAGTGTGTTAATTCTTACATTTGCAAGTTTGTCTGCTTCTAGTCATGTTCTGGTAGTGTTGGTATTGCATAATTGGTGAATGTTGTGTCACTTGTGTGAAAATTCTCTATTTACTCACATTCATATTTTATAGCATAAGTAGAACATGATAGACTAATATAGAAAATATAATATTAAAGTTCCTTGAGTTGTGGAATCAAAAAGATTTTGATCAATCAAATGGGTTAGTGAGACAGCGCAGTTCATTGATTTATCAGACATGTTGAACATTTGGACAACATATTTGAGGTCATGCTGTAATTAGTAGTTTATTTTATTACTATAATAAAATAGTATTCTTTGATGAAAAATGCATGTTAATGATATTGCCATAGATTCATGCAGAATATTATCTTTATTAACTATAAAAGACATTTAAATAAAGGATAAATTACAGGTGATAGAAAATTTCATGATCAGAATTTCATCTTTCAAAAGGAAAACTTGTTAGATTTGACATGAATAATCAAGACCATGAACCCAGAATTTAAAAATTGGGTAGGAAATCTCAAAAATGCGTGCAATCTAGAATATTCCTTGAAAATTAGAAAATGAATTATGCCGCCAAAGGAAAGTAGGATAAAGTGAAGGGGAAGAGGAAAACAGTGAGAAAAACTATCAAGTTGAAAAAAGAAATTATTGCGAAATTTGAGAGTGGTGTTTAAGTGTCTGATCTCATCTTACAGTATGGCATGCCGAAGTCAACCATTTTCATTGTTTTCAAAAAATATAGAAAATGATAAAGAAAGCTAATGTTGTGCAGAGAGTTGCAGCAATTATTATTGATTGAGTACACGTTTTAATAGTTGGTATATTTGGGAATGTGTAAGGACATATTAAAATATTTATCATTGTTTCTCATGGCAAATAAAGTTTCGGACAAATCTGTAGTTGAACACCAATCTTGAACAAATTATGTTCGACTACCGATGTATCATGAAGGAATTCAAATAAACAATACAAGTCAACACTTTTAGGGAATGGATTTTCCCAAATCAGAAATTCCCTTGGTAAAAGCTTATTAAGTGTAAAAATATTGTTATCCAGTGGGAAACTCTAAATATACTGTCAAATACACTGTATATAAGAACAAACTAATATTCTTATTTTGTGTTTAGGTTGATCTGGAGTCTGAACGAGAAGTACGAACACCGGAAGGTGCATCTTTAGCAAATAACTGGGGTTGTCCATTTCTGGAAACATCAGCCAAAAGCAAACGCAACGTCGACGAATTATTCACAGAGATTGTCAGAGAGATGAACTACATGGCTCAACCTCAGAACAACGGAGGATGTTGTAGGATATTGTAGCCAATTTTCCTATCAGAAACCTACTCTTGAGATTCAGGTAAGCCTGTGGAATATGTTTTGCTCAACTCTGAAATATGTTCAGATGAAAAAAGTTGTATAACATACCACTGTATACACAGTACAATGAATGAATTCCAAATTCCTAACCCATGAAAAATATTTTCTTCCATTAAATACACTTTTATATGTATTTAATGTATCTAACTATATACCGCTAATACCGGTATTTGTAAACTATATAGAAGGAATAGTTTTCAAGATTTTGGGAATTCTGAGTATTGTACAAAACATGTTAGTAATAAATAGCTTTTAGTAACTACGAGTCTAAGAATATTAGAAACAACCTTTTTACAGTCTTTAAATTTTGCTAGATAAAATTTGTATCTAGTCTTATTGTTTTCATCAGTCGTACACTGTTCTGCGAATGATATACAGCCCGAGGCTGATAAAGTTATTATAGTCAATATACTTGATTGTAAGCTGAGATAGTCCACAACATTTTGGGTTTTGAAAAATCGTTTTTCCCTTTAGTTTGTGAAATTGAGTTATAATTTTCGGTACTCGAGAGTCAAGATGAAAGTGATTAGAATGCTGGTACTGTGTGTTTTGAAACTTTCTAAAGGGCCCGATATTCACCCCAAATTTTGCTCTGTTCGTTCATTTTTTATTTGTTTTGACAACAATGGTTTTTGGATATTACCCTATTGCATAAATGAGCCTCTGAGTATTGAAATATTTTAATCTTATCTGATTTTTGTTGTTTGCTGTTGATGAGGTTGGCGTATTTATAAAACATTGATTCCGGTCTTATTCAGTTAACCTATAATCATACCCAATAGAATTTGAACATGTGAATTTTATGCATGTTAATCAAGGGATTGATGACAATCATGTTTTTTTAATAACCCTTTGCATGTTTGTGCATTGTGTTCATTCACCCCATCCCGATGCAGTTGACATTGCAATAGCAGTTGTAATTTTATTTGGAGCCATGCTTAGACAAGTAAATTTTGAGGTAATTTTTACTGCCAGTTTTTCACAGTATTACTAATAGCCTATTCAAGCGTTTATGTACATTAGAAGGTATGTGAACACTTTATGTTGGTATTTACTATATTTGTTGTAGAAGATTCAATTTTATTCAATTAATTTTAGATAATTATTTTTCAAAAATAAATGTGTTTTCAATCTCGTTTTGATCTGTTCGTGTGGTCAACTAAAAAACCTTTTTTGTTTTTGCAGAATTGCAGTGATGGTTAATAAGGAAGAGTTGGAATATTGATCTTATGTTTTCAAACTGGACTTGGGTGAACAAAATACTACTATTTATGGTGATCTCGTTCTAAGATGTATATTTTATTGCTTCACAAACTAAAATACCTGTTTGATCTTGGTAACCCAGTGGGTCAGTGTTATGTATGAAGCAATGCAACTGCATGGATATGCAGAAGATTTCCTTCCAACTTTGTGCATTCCTGACAAAATAATGCATCGAGTCGAACTTCATTGTTAACTATAATAAAGTAATTGAATTTTCAATGCACTTATCACACTCATCAAGGATTTTCTGTGTTTCTGCTGTTCGAGAACTAAAAGTGGATGGTCTATGACAAAAAATGCAGTTAACATGGATTTTCTTAAATTATTTGATCCTAAGGTTTGCATGTATGTATGTACTACATGCTTTGAGAGAAGCTTTGTCCATCATTTTTTTTTTCTTCATTTTTTGTGACTTTAAACTAAATCTAATTTTATCTTATAAACTTATCAAGTATTTCAGCTCGCAGATCTGAACCATGTAAATTTGAATATTATGGGGATGTGTTGATTATGGTTTATGTCAAGATAAATAAATCATGATTTTGTTAGAACAAAGAAAAGTGCTTCTTTTATTTGCATTTTTTTATTGATGCTGTAAATGGTACCATATGCTTACTTACTTTTTGTATTAAATATATTTCTCTATTTCTTATTTTTGGGTGGCTGGAGTCTGCATAGATTTTGTGCTGACATAATGGTAAATATTCATTGTGGTATGCCACCTTTCTGATGAGTAAAACTTAGAAATTTTTATTGTCAAGGTTGTTTGGGGAAAACAGTCAAAAAGTGATAGCCTATTTCTGCTTCTGTTCACAAAATGAGTGTTCCCATATATATTGCCAACCCTATTGTGTAAACTAAACATTTCATTCATTTTATGCGTTAGGGGATGTGATTCAAAAAAATTTTGTAATAGTTCGGAATGATGATCATATGGGGAAATCTGCTAGAGTTATAATTTAGTCCTCTAGAAATTGGTGTAAACTGTAAACTATGGCATGGAACTAAAATTCATTAATTCCATGGTTATTTATGATCGTGTTATTTTAAAAAGTTTATTTGTATTTATTCAAAAAAATTTGTAAGTAACATTTTCATCATTTCCAATGATGTCATGAATGATTTTCTCAAATTTTCGTAGTATCAATTTTGCCAGACTCCGGTAATCCTATATTGCCAGATTTTGTTGAAAATTTTGTTTGTGTGTAAGAATATTTAAGAACATATGTCTGGTTTCATTAATCAGTTTAAAATATCAAATCAAAAATTGCCACCAATAATTCGACACTTTTGTTTTCAAACGACTTTTCAAATTAGTTCATTACCAATTGTATTTTTGTTTAATCCAAGTTTGAACCGATATAAATTTTTATTGTCCCATCAAGATCTATCCAATCTGCAACAAATAATAATTTGAGCACACTTTGATCATCTGCAGAATGTTATTCGTCAACGTCGAACACTCCAGCACTTTGGTAAAACTGGTTACTTCAACATCTGAAAATAATCTTGCTGGTGACTTTCAATTATTAACATGGGGTATGGGTCATGATTTGTATTGGATGGGAACACAAGCTTTGTTTCAGTATTTGAATTTTTTGAATAATTTATTTGCATATAAGGATTTTCACTATTTCAACTATTCTATTGGCTTTTGGTTTACATCATTGGCAATTTGAATGTCATTACAACCAACACTCCCGCGCAGTTCCGTAGCCAGGAGGGTTCGACATTGTTTTCGACAGCGCGGCTGTTGACATCTTTATATTAGCCCCCTCCCAATTCTCCTTTGCGAGTATCTGTCGACACCTATTGGTCTTGTGTCACAAAGACATCGATAATCACACACGGAATTGTGCGTACAGTGAGGAAAGCTTGAAAACTGTTTTAACACTATTTTGGATTGGATATCGTAAATCGCACATATTTTGCTTAGTTACAAACCCAGAAAATACCATGTGCCTTTATCCATTTTTTAAACAACAGTATTTCATATCAGCTCTATGAATTTATTCCGGATCATGATGAAAAGTTTGTATTTTAGGGACCGCACGACGCACTTTAAATCTCTTTTTTTTCTCATAAATCGACCTTTCGCCTTATAAGTCGATGCGCCTAATGTATGGATCAGGTACTGCTTTATTGCCTACACTAAAAACCAGTACCGAGACCATTGTTTTTTAACAAACCACAGTTTTACCTTTTTCTTTGAATAAGATACAATAACTGTTAAAAATGTCGAGTTTTTTTTGTTTAATGAGCTTTGTACGGTATCCCGACGACACTCCATAAATGCAGTTGCGTCTTATTGTCCGACGCGCCTTATCTATGGTATGACCCTCAATCGAAACAACTTATTGTCGGTGCGCGCCTTATGGTCCGTAATATACCACATTGTAATGTATGTTCCCTCAATTTACCATTCTACTTGAATTAGTTGTATTCCTTGGGATTGTAGCTGGGGTAGAGGCGTTTTAGCAGTGTTCGTTTACGTTGAAAGCAATTATTATGATATGACATTTTAGGGAAATTTCCGACCGTGGATTGTGTATTTTGCGTATCAAAAAAATCAATTTCAGCTGTAAAAGTCGGCTCTTTTATCGATCGTTATAATAGGTACCATTGTTTTAAAAGCCTCTGCGAGAGAATTTTCGGGAGTTTTGGACTGCTCCGTTTGGTTGGTTGCGCCCTTGTTTGTTTTTGTCTAGCAGTTTTGAAATTCTATCTAACTCGTGCTTAATACTCATGAGCTCTTCACACCTGTGGAAGTTTTACTTGTACATCATGTGCACTGAGTGACGCTTTTCCTCAAAAAGCTTATCAATAGTCTCATTATTGGCATTCACCTTATAGCAATAGTGAAATGCGGAACAATGGCGAAGTTAACACCTCTGACTTGAAATATATTATTGCAATTTTTTTGTATGTTTCCCGTGCCAGAATTTTATCCTTGTTGGCGGTTGACTTTGTGTATCTTTTTTAATCTGTTAGTATGATATTATTAACAATTAATAAATATTATTAGTATACATGCGCGTGTACAATGTTCATTGAATCATTGGTATTGTCTGAAATAATAGCTAAACGGCAAGACTCTCGTGTATAGGTTATAGATGACGGACATCGGTTTAGGCGAAAGTACATACCCCATCCGTAAGTTGGGAAGTTTGATTTGCATCGAATCTTCGTGGAATCGAGCTACCAGGTAAGCAACGAATTGCTGGAGCGTGTTTTTGACAAACAATCCGCTTTAAAATATAGGCCTATTCCGTGAACTGCTCTCCCTTTACCTGAATTTTCAATTCGCATGCAGAGTGATATGTTTATCTCTCGGATAAGAGGACTACAAAAAAGTTTCAACAACTGCGCTTTCTTAAATGCCTCATTGTAATATACCTTGTGATCACTTGTTAATTTTTAAAAACTTCGGCCATTACGAGATTATGCCTTTAGTTATAGGAGGAATATAGAATGTCTGAAATATATCCTTTCCGTTGGGGATCAATATGTGGACGAAGGACACGTTTTTATATATAATTTTCGGTTCACGGATATTTAGTTGCTGTCCGGCTGTATCGTCTTTATACGTCCGGCATTATCCCTGGAGGTCATCCCCCAAATTCCTTTCTCAGTTGAGTTAGCCCGGACCTCGAAACCGACATCAGCAATTATTCTTGCCTTACAGCCAGATCTCAAATAAGCTGACGTATATGCATTAGTCAATAAACTTTTCATTCGACATTTCTCATCGCTCATACCATTCAGATTTAGCATTTCCATAGTCAATAAACCTGGAGGCCCGGCAATCGAATGAAGGTTTGGTATAAAATTTGAACATGGCTCGTAAATAAAAGATTTTATTTCATAAAGCAATATATATATATATTATATTAGTCAAATGCTCTGTTTTTTACCACATTACTATTTTGGAGAATAATTTTTCATGGTGGACTTAACATTGAAAGGGAAAACTATGGATTGAAGAATGTGAAAATAGTGGAACAAACAACTTTTCCTCCTTTACCCAGTTTCAATATAGATCAATAAACTTATTTAATAATTAGCTCACCATTCTAATCTATTACACTATGTAACACACTTTTTGTTCCTGTCTTCTAATTATTATTATTTTCTAATTGGTTACACCGAAAAACTGAAGGACAATTACGTAATTTTTTTTTAATTTTGGTTTGGTGAAAATGTTTATTTTTCCAAAAATCGTTTTTTTGTGATATAAAACGGCAAAAAAATCTTCAGTAGGCTATAACATAGTCTGGTGCTATTTCTTAGTGTTATTAATCTTCCATAGATGTGTTTCTTGTAGTCCATGTAATTAATCTTAAAGAAAGTGATACAAACCCATTGTAAATAAATAACTATTTATTTTCCAACTGTCGATTTCACGAATAAGCTCTCATATGTAGTCACTATCGTGCCCTCATCGTACTGTCATTGGTAACGGACGCTTACAATCAAACTATGCCGCGATAGTGTGTATAATGGCAAATTTTGGATGAATATTGACATCAATGTTTAGCTGGAACAGTTGTAGGGTCCCATTTGATGTTGCCTTTAGTCCTTTACTGTCAAAAAATTCAGTTCTTTTCAGTCATTTCGTCCTGTTGTAGTGTGAAATTACGCGTCTCTTCTTTCCTAATGGCAATATCACCATGTAATCGAACGCTTCCCATACGCTTTTCCCATTCATCTGGTATGTTAAAAATTAAAGTTCATCGGATCCGAATAAAATCTCCGCCAGTGGATAGACCTAAGTCCGTGTTTTAAAGTGTTTTCTGCAGTGTTTTAAAACACGTCTGTAAATTTACTTCAATATCATTAATGATATGAAACTTTTTAAATCGTTAGTCTCTCGATATGCGTCACGTGTATGAAAAATCACGACTATTGCAGAATTTTATTCTGGTAACAGTTATCCAGGCCGCCATCGGATTGTCTCAAATTCAGCATTATAACAAGGAATGTTAGCTCGACAGTAATTCGTTCCGGATGGAATTAACGATGTTATTATTATTATTATTATACAAGCTTCATAAAAATCGGTAAACCGGAATCTAGGGGTTTTCAAAGATTTTATTTCTGCAACTGACCGATTTTAGCGGTTTTAGATATTAAAGGGCCCGCCAGAGAATGTACGCTCACGCCTACCAGAGAGCATCATTCGAGGTGTTACATACTCTTACGGGAACTCCTATTCAATACTTTTTTCACTCAGAGATCGCACACTTAACGGCCGCTTTTATATTCTTAAACCGTCCGAGGTTCTGATGCTAAGCAGTTCAATTTTCCCAAATGATTTCTCAAACCGTAGGAATTTTGCAGGGAATGTTCTTCCACCATTTACCATTGCTTTTTAATGGGACGGTTGATGAATTAACTATTAAAGGAATCCAAATAAGGCCAAACGAATACCTAAAACTTAGAGAATCTAAGTATTGACAGGGTATCATCGAAGAAATAGCTTCTCTAATTTTTAACTCAGCACGCTGCGGGTGACGGAAACGGACATAGCGTGAGTTTTATAAATACGTCTTCTGCCGATACACAATTTCTTCAATTCTCCTATTGCAGTGCCAGAGGTTACAACGTCAACTACAACAATCATCAATCTATACACTATGCTTCGATGTTTTTCTGGTATTATCAGCGTTATCTAGCACGCAACCGCCCTGTAGGGTAGGCTACCCTTCCCAAACGGGGTTCTTCATCTCCCCTAGAGCGCCGTAAAAGATTTTCGCAACGCCATATAAATTCAGTCCGTAAATTTAATTCTAATTTTTCAAACACAGATATTCTCTATGTCCTTGATAGAGAAATCGGCCGAAGATTCCTAGTTGATACTGGTGCAACCGTTTCCCTGATTCCCTCACATCGAAAAAAACGGCCGTCCTCGTACAGGCCGTAAGTTGTATTTTGTGCTGCCAACAGTACACCTATCTACACCATGGTATGGCCACGTGCTGTGACTCTTGCGTTAGATACCGGTAACAACATCGAATATGACTGCAATTTCCAAATAGCACATGTTTCTCGATCGATATTAGGGACTGATTTCTTTGTCAAAACAGAGACTTGTGGTTGACTTACGCAACCCACCCCTTCTCGACCCAAACTCCATTACCTACATATTATATAGTACGAATTTCTTTTGGTGGATCAATAGCAGCGAACTTCATTTCACCGAGACATCAGAGCTACTACGCCGATTTGTTGAAAAAATTCGAGCATTTTACAATCTCTCGACGTGCATCTGCTACGGCGAAACATAACGCAATCAGCCGTAATAATATTATAACCGGTCAGCCAGTGCATTCCAAAGTGACTATTAACCACTTTGGTGCATTCTAAAGCCAGACCTCTTACGCCCCACTTATAAAAGTCAGGGACCAGCGTGAAGAACCTATTAAATCTGGAGATATAGTTCCTTCCAACTCACCTTATTTCACTCCCATCACAGCTATATATAAGAAGGATAGCGACGAGTTCACCCCCTTACAGTACATTTTACGTCATCATCTCCAGCATGAAATACACATTAAGGATCACTACATTGAGTTTTATCTGAAGGCGGCAATTTCTTTTGTGTAGGTGCGCCGTGCGTTTTCCCCTAATAATTTGGCGCCGCACGATCAAAAAGTTTGGGAAACGCTGGGCTATGGTACAGCTTACAATCGAAAAATCGTGGAGAGATAATTTACCGATATAATACCGGTGTTCGCGGCTTAAATACCCAAGTCATGCCGAAGAAAACAATCGGCGATTATAACTTAATTTGACCTCGCAATCGCCCCCGCCGCCCTTAACAACCAAACGATAAAAGACAGACACCATTTTCTCGTTTTCTGTCGGAAGTAACTTAACCGATTTGAAAAATATATTCGTATTCTTAGACAATATTATATTAATTGCAATCGAAACTGAAGAACAGCACCGCCAAGCACTGAAACAACATTTCTTACGCCTTCGAACAAATGGACTCGTGAATGTTTATAAATGCGGATTCGGCCAACAAACGTGACCCCGAAAGGCATCTATCCATTATCACCAATGTTGAAGCAATAAACAGGTTTCATTTTCAAACAGCTCCGTCCTTTCCAGGTCTGGAATGCTACTAAAATCGTTTTCTAAGGGATTGCGCGGCTATATTCAACCACTGCATGATCTAGTTCAGTGTTTTTCAACCTTTTTTTTTATTGTGGTATAGCTTTTACAGTTTTTCAAGAACTTTGTTGAACATACCTTACAGATACCAATGTTTATTTGAGGCTCAAATTAACATTAAATTTTAAGCACATATTGTAGGCCTACTGCAATATCATCATGCAATCTAATAGGCTATAGCAGATTACTCGCTATAGTGTCTGCAAGTTATAAATTTGACTGACGGCCTTAGCGTCAATGGGAATAATGTTCAACGTAAATCAAACGAAGTGCATGGCAGCCGAAATCACTAACCCAGACAAGTGACAGCATTATCTATAAAATTTGTGATGTAACGATGTGCTCACGTCGGTTCTTTGCGTAAATAATATTTTAGATTTCATGTGCGACGCGTTTGCATTGTTTTCTCCGCTTGAATATTTTATAATTTATTATATTAGAGTTTAGAATCCCTGACTTATGCTGTACACCCTTCGTATAGCCAACTTATGGTATACCGTATACCCGGTTGAAGAGCACTGATCTAGATTCTCAGAGCAACAAGAAGAGCCAGTCACTCAAGTGGACGCGTGACACACTGCAATTATTCAAAAGGATTAAATCAGAACTAGCAACTGAAATATACCTTGCCCCACGTAATCATACTGCGATGAAGCGCCTCTAGTGTACGCGTGAAATACTGCAATCATTTCAATAAGATTAAATTAAAACTAGCATCTGATTTAATGCTTGTCTACAATGCTATCTTTATTAATCGACGCCAGCAAAGTAGCAATAGAGGCCGTCCTTCAGCAATGTGTCGGCGGCGAATGGTCACCTCAATTCTTTTCAAAATCACTCAAGTTTGCACAT